GCTGAATTTCTAGGTGCAAGCAGGAAAATATTCCCAAAAGGAAGGGAATGGGAAGAAGATGCCACTGCCAAACTCACCTTCATGGAAAATGTCATAGTGGGAGGCAGCTTGTTGAGGACAAGGAATTGTTGTTTCCTGCTTTTCCTCCATTTCTCTGCGACACAACTCACCATTGCCTCATCTCATCACCTCTGAAAAAATGTCATAGTGGGAGGCAGCTTGTTGAGGACAAGGAATTGTTGTTTTCTCCATTTCTCTGCGACACAACTCACCGTTGCCTCATCTCATCACCTCTGAGTCTACCCCAGTGAGTATTCCATAGAAGATATTATGAATCCTTTTCCTCTTGCTAGTATTTTCCTCCTGCTACTTTCCAAAAGCTATTTCCTCTCTGTACCTTGCAGTTCATCTGGCAGTCATTCCTCCCAGACAACCCCTACCTCTGTGCTACCTCTGAAGGTGGTTACAAGCTACAAAAGATACTGCAATTTGTCAAGATGTGCTATTTATGTGCACTATTTATGCCAGGAAATTCTCACCTTTTCCTTTGGCCATTGCTCTGAAGAAAGGTGACACCAGCCTGCCAGAAACATCTTCAGGGTGTGTGGTCATGCCATCCTTCACTGCTTGAAATCCATTCAGAATAACCACTGGGGCCCATCCAAACCATAAGGTGAAGATGTTGCCATGAATTTTTGCCAGCTAGAGATGGGAGAGAAGCCAGGAAAACACAGATGAAATCCCACACACTGCAAACAGAGGATGAACCTGTTCTTGCACTGATTACAGGACCAGCCCTAAGGTGGAGTGATGTTCTCCATCTTTCCCACCAGACTACAATTATTATTGAGAAACCATGAAAGTATTTTCCAACATTCACTGTGGGAAACACCTGTGTATTCTCACTTTTCAGAGCTACATTCCTATGTCAAGAAACCTTAAGTACCTTTCATTACTGTATATAAGCCAAGGCACAGTTCACAATCGTTCATGGGATAAAGGATATTTTCTATTTATTAATTTTAGAGGGTTTCTACCATTTGTACAAGTAAAGTAGCGCAAAAGAACACAGAACTGTCAGAGGTGTAATTAGCTTAGAGACTGGACTTTCTTCCTTCCTCCCATCTGTTTTTGATCCTGTCAATACAAACAAGTTCATACACACAGAGTGCAGGGAAGTATCTATTTACTGCTCGAGCTAGAGAGTGCCAGCGTTCAGAAAGCTACAAATCCATCCTGTGAAAGTAATTTTTAATAGTTCTTTTTTCCCCTAACTCCAAAACCGATATATAATCCCTAAAGATATTTAATTTTCACACGAATTCAAAACATCTAGTGGCAAGGGGTGATAGAAAGATATCAAGTTTCACACACATTTCAGTGAAAATCAGTGTTAAAAGGGGATAGGTTTAAACACCAGAATGACCTTCACACATTCAGAAATTCCAATACCGGGTTTCTTAGCTTGGCAAACCACTTTACACTGCAATATCTTTTTCTTACTTTGCAGACCAAACCAGCAGTTCTGAACCAAACCAAGTGTGATATCACAGTGGCCAGTTAACAGCTACAGTACTACCAATGTAGTTTTGGGAGAGGATGTTTTCACACAGCAAGCAACATGAGAAAGAAGAAATCACAAAGGCTTTTAGACAATTAGGAGTATCTGAAAATAAGTACCTGCATGAGAAGGTCACGATTAAACTGAAAGTTCAGCTGTATCAGTGTCCCAAGGACTGGGAGAGGGACTGGTCCAGGAGGAAACCGTTTCCGCACTCGCTGCAACTTTAAAAACTGCGTAATCAGAAGAAATACAGCCACTGCTACAAGAACTTCACTTATGCTCAACATTTTTGTGTCTGCCTTTATTCAAAATTCTCTATTGAAGCTATTAAGGCTGGTTGCTAAACCAGTTTTTTCATTAGAGCTTGAATTCACATAATAAATATTCCCCGCCTCTAACCCTACCTCTTTATTATCAACCACTCCCTTTTTGTTCCACTCATTATGTTCTCATGCTCCAGCATATTAATAGATGCACACCCTTCTTCTTCTCATCCAGATTATACTCATTCAGTATGGATCACAGCATTTGTAGGAATGCTATCTTAAAAGACTTGGGCCAAGATTTTCCAGGCAATGGAGATGCACGTAAATTCTCCATCTAGTTTTTCTGAGCCAATTTTGAATGGTATGTGTTCCTACAAATAGTCCAGGAATGCTTTTAGAAAAGCAACAGCCATACATACAAATTAAGCAGGCAAATGTAAGTGGATATTAAATCTTGGAGTTTTAAAATTGGTTTGTATATGTTCTACGTACCCGTTATATCTAGTAATGGCAAGGCTGATAGAAGTTAAAAGCCCACATTTATCTTAAGATACATATACAACTATCTAATGCTTAATACAAAAAGCAAAATTTGTTACACTCTTGAATATAATTGAAAACATAACTGGATTAATGTATGACCTTACTTTTTTCCCTAACATGTTAGCACTAGGAAAACTCACAGAGGGTTTTGTCTGCTTCTGCATTTCCCCATTCAGTCTTGACATAAGGTGGGTACCCCATATGATTTGAGAAATCATCAGAAAGTATGTGAGATAAATAATGCATATTCATGGAGAAAGTACATCTGGTGTTAAATATAAAGATTTAAAAGAAAAAAATTTAAAACATGGGAAAAACCTAGTAGGGATCTTGAGCTACCACCAGGCCTTAGCAAGAACTAGTCATGACATGAGTGTGGATCCTTGGTAACTTGAAAACAGAGTCTGTAGCCAAGGCTCTTTGCCAAGCCTCAACACCACAAGCAGGAACCACAAACACGGCACCAGGGGATTTCACAGGCTGCAATCAGACCATGGAAACCTCACAAGAGGGGTTCTGGGTACCACATAACCATGACCATTGCAGTCCCCTGTTACAAATCCAGAGTGAAATGCTTCCCTTTCAAAATTGCCCATCCCTTGAGGGCAAAGCACTTGTGAAAGAAACATGTTTTCACTGATCTTCTGAGAAAACTGCCAAGACTTGTGCACCAGCTCGCTTCTTGCAAGCTGACTTTGGGACAGAACCTATTTCCAGATTTTGTGGCTCTGGAACACAGAAGACTCTTATCCAGAAGGACCAGCCTGGAGTCTGCCAGCACACAGTTCACAAACCTCCAGAACAATTAGCCTTCGTTACCACTAATGCATAACTGATTAATGTGTATTAACCAAGGGATGTTTATAGGTTTCCACATAAGCTTTGTGTACACTAAAAAGGTGATTTTTCAAGACAATAATTTCTAGTTTATCTCTCTCCCTCATCAGGAAAAGTAAATTTCTCTTTGAAAATAAATTGGTTAAGTTTTGCCTTCTCTGTCTCCAGTGTAATCTCACAAATTCTGCTTCAAATTTCCCAATTTATCAGAACTTTTAATTTTTAATCAATATAATACATTCAATTTTCTTCTGGATATTAGAAGATCTTCCATCTAAATTATTTTTCTTTGGAAAAGTCATTTTTGTCCACTGGAATTTAAGCCCCAGTGCCTTCACCCCACAAGGGCTTCAGTCTCACACCTTTAACCAGCTGGAGCCAGCCTGGAATACAATTTGGTCATACTGGAAAAGGAAAATGACTATGGGTCGGTTCAGATCTGAGGCATGGGATTTATCTTACTTTATTTGATGGAAAATGTATTTATGAGATAGCTAAGGCTCCATTTTCTTAATAATTACTAAATGCAGCCAGTAGCAGCATTTCTTTAGCACTATCTACCAGCTATTCTTTAGGATTAATGATTTTTAACGTGCCAAAGGCAAGCAACTGCTGCCTCCCCTCCTGGATCCAGATGGATACAAATCAATTGCTCTCTTACCAGTGTGGAGCTGCTGCCAGGGGAATGTGTTTGTAGGTCCAGCATGAGGGGACTTCATACCAACCACCTACATGCCAGGACATAGGTAGAACAATCCCATAAAGGTAATCCCGCGGGGGAAGAAACTGCAAACCCAGGTTTCATCCTGTATGCACATCCCTGCCTGTTAGACTGGGGTGCTTTAAAACACCAGGTGGGCAGAGGCACCTGAAACAAATACAGCTGTGATGATGATGTCAGTCCTGGAGATGGCACTGTCAGCTAATCAGAGTATAAAAATAATCCTTCCTGTGTTGGCATGCAGTATCCAATTTGTACCTCATACAAGAAGAATGTATCCCAATGCCATAAAAGAAAATTCCTTGTTAACTGCCAGTAAGCAAACCAGCAAAAAACCTCCACTTCTGCCAAGTCCTTAGGCACCTGGCTCATAAAGGCTTCCAGAATTCTTCAGTAGTGCCAAATCTGCTCTTGGTCGTGGTGTGCTAAGTGAAGTCATCTAGCTGTGATAAAGAATCCATTTTAAAAAATGAAAATATAAATTAAGGTGAATAAATTTTTGGAGGATCTGGAGCAATTATCACAAGTAGGCTACCTGGCATGAAGTTCCCATGTCGCTGGCAACCAGTGAGCTCATAAAAAAGGATAAATTATCAACACTCTGTAATGGCTCACAGTTGTCATTTGTCTTCCTGTCCCTGCTCTTTGCTTGCAATATGAAAAGCTCTCCACAACTGCCTGATGAAGCCACTCTTCTATTTCATCAGAAGGGTTGAAATGCTACCTGGATTAGTGGGTGAAACCCTGAACTGTCTTCCTAAATGACATAGTTGTATACAAGAGGCTTGTTCAACAGCAAACCATACCAGTCTAAGGGAATATGTTATCACAGATCATACTGCCTGCCTCTAGAAAGCTTCCTCCAAGAGCTCCTGTTACCTCCTGCACCCACTAATATCCCAAGACAGACTGGAAGATCTCTAAGCCTATCTCCACAAATGCAACCGTGCTTATGAGAAAAAAATCTTTATTCATGAGACTTCCAATTCATAGACCACACTTCAAGATCAATCTCTATAAAACCTCTTTCCAGTTGGTAATATGTAAGTCCCAGTTGTAATTCTTCCCTTAATGCCTTTATTTGTTATACATCATAAGAAATTTACCAATATTTTCCAAACAGAAAAAAAAGAACAAAATATGAGCCCTTTATAATTATAATGCTCAAGATGCAACTGTCTGTCAAGAATCTTTCAGGGTAGTGATTAACCAAATGAAGAGGAAAGCAAAAATCTTAGGACATGCAAGAAGGAATTCACATACAGAAGCAGCTTTACAGAGTGACTCTTCCCTGAATCTGCCATTTGCTATCGAGGAATGGCACAGAGCTGGTACGGAGGTGGCTTCATCGTGCTCCCAAAAACAAACTTGGTGTTGACTTCCTTCACTCCTTCTGGCAGGGTGAATGTGAATGCTTGTAGCAAGGTGGAAAAGACAATAAAGAGTTCCATCCTTGCCAGCAGCTCCCCCATGCACACACGGTGCCCTGTGAAGAAACAGAAAAGGCACTTCAGCCACAGGATTTCTATCATGCCTCCCTTTCTAACTTCCTGGGATTTTCTTTGCTTTTTTTTTCTGCAGATTTGATCCTTTTCTCTTAAGTTTGTCATTTAATGATTCATAACTGAAACACCGCTTGTATTTCTGCAAAAAGTCTCAATCTACATTTACAGCAGGCAGTAAGACATTCTAGAAATTGTCACCAGGGTGACACAGTTCACATTTACAGTCTTCTCAGCACCATGCATTTTTCTGCTACTGCTTTGATAGCTGGATCTCTTCTCAGAGAGAAACTGGATCTGTCTTCCAAGAGAGACTTCTCTATGTGTCATTCCTTCTCTTCCAATCGTTTCCACATACGATGGAACTTCTGGACTTCTCTCTTCTTTGAGATCTTTAAAGCAGTTTGTGTATGCCCATTTGTAGGTGCCTTCCTGTTATTTTGGGGAATGAATGGATCTGAAGTTGTTACCACAAGGAGTAAATAAATCCCTGTTCAGTGCACTTACCTATAGCAAATGGTAAGAATGCTTCTCTGTTTACAAAGTTTCCATCTTTATCCAGAAAGTGGCCTGGGTTGAACTGATGAGGTGTCTCCCATTTTCCAGGATCAGCCAGAACAGAGTCAATATTTGCTAAAACTACTGTGTTCTGAAAAAAAGTAGCAGCGGCTTCAACAAAAACCGTGACAGTAGAGTCTACTGATATCTAGGACAAAGCCTTGTGAAAGGCCATCCACAGAGACAGTCAAACCTTAGAGACACTAGAACAAGAGTTCATGATGTCCCCAGTCAGAAAAAAAAATCAAAACCCTTTCTAAAATCATCTAATAGACCAAAGATCAAATTGATTCAAATATGCAGCACATTTGTACCTTTGGAATGTGATATCCCAGCAGCTCCGTGTCCTTCACACTCAGTCTGGGCAGGGCAATTAAGATTATGTTACTGTATCTCTGGATCTCGTGAATTACAGCATTTGTGTAGGGCAGCTTTTTCCTGTCCTCATAGCAAAATACATGAGAACAACCCATAACAGCATCCAGCTCCTTCTGGACTTTCTCTAAGGAGGAATATTCAGCTTTAAATATACAGCAAACAATCTACAAACTCTATAGTCATAATTTTCCCTGCTGCTTTTTGCAGTCAGAATGGCATCCAACCAGATGAAAAAGATACTTTATAAAAATAATGCCTTCAAATTCCCATACAGATGGCCTGAAAAAAATTGATGTTGATGTTGTTTATAGGTTGCATATATACTTTTAAAATAAGATAGCAGATGAGGTCATTCTATAATAATATGTGACCTGTTACATTTACTGCTCTAAGGTAATTTATAAAAAGACTTTTATTAATATTTATTTGTACAGGCAGGGAGTCAACTGGAAAAAAATATTAATCGTGTATTAGGGGAACAGTTTAGTAATTGATCGAGGATTCTTCATTAAGAAACACATAGATTTTGCTTGTCATCTACAGGTTCCTAACTGCTGTTCTGTAATTACTTGCCTTGGGAAGCACTTACACAAATTAATTTTTCCCAAGGACTTCATTTTTTTTTTTTTGCTTACAATCCAAGCTGAAATGGTAATTTCTGATTATTTTTTATTAACACTACAAACTCTATCATTGCAATTAGAGTTACCCTCACAAAACTTAAGAATGTGTTAAAATATCCTGAGAAGATGAAAAATCATGTGAAAATTCAGTTTGTGCAACCCAATTTCAAGTCTTTTGAAGGTAACAAAAATGGGACATCCTTTCTCCTTAACACTTCCACATTTTCTATTTGCCAGACTCCTGCTATGTCTGGTACTAAGCTTAAACTCTCAAATATGAGTCCTTTAAAGTGAGTTTTGTACCTTCTAATCCTTTCTATTCCATACATTCTGGCTCTATTTTTTCAGTCATTTTACTCTGTCAAACTGTATCTTTCTTCTGTAAATATCATTATTAGAAGCACACATTTTCAAGCTACTCACCCAGTATTAGCAACCCCACACTCTATTTAAGTTATTTCTGCTGCAAGAGGCCAAGAGCAAATCAAAGAGTAGGAGTCAGAGATTTACAAGGATCACCCAAAGACTCCTTTGTGGAAATCTAAGCATTACTGTCTGTGGAGGGGTAATGGTGCAATTTATCCCATCTGAGACTAAATTCCTGTAGCTGATTAATTTAATCACACCCTGCATCTGTTAAAAAAAAAAAAAAACAAAAACAAAAAAAACCAAACCAAAACCAAACAAAACAAAAAACACACCACCAACAAACTAAAAACCAAAAAAACCTGGAATTATTTGCCTGTATGTGAGAAAGGATACAGCAAGAAAAAAATTAATGCAGTTCACCTGATTCATGCTGCAATAATTAATTCCTCTACTTTTCTTTGAACAGGCATAACCACTATTTGAACTTGTATCATTGCTACAGTTGCAGACCTCTTTGGATGTGCTTACCTTGAATGTCAGGATAAATCACCATATAGAGCAATGCCCACAGTAAAGTGGTGGCTGTAGTTTCTGTGCCTGCTATAAAGAGGTCAGCAACAGTCTGGATCAAGTTTTCTTCATCGTAAGTTGCATCAGCATCTCCTTTAGTCTGCAGATATGAATTGAAAAGAAAGTTATGGCACACAAAAGAAGACGTAATCCACCTGGAGAAATCATACATTTCTAAATTTATATTAGACATCATTATAATCACCTAAAATCCCTTGTTGTTAGCAAAGTGTGAGAGAAGTTCAGAAGTACTCACTTTATCTATCTCATCCAAATAGTAATCAATAAAATGTCGATTTTCATCAAGCTTTCTTTTTGCTTTGTGACTTTCAAGTTCCTTTGCTAACAGAGCATTCACAAAATCTATGCAGGACTTAATCTTTTTAACTGATGGCAGAAAGTGACCAGCAAGCCAGGGAGACAACTCATACATCTGTAAAGGAGATATTTTAGATATGTGATATTACATATAAACATGTGGCATTTAAAAAACTAAATTTGAATCCTAATACAGGCTTCTGGGTAGTGGAAAAAGCAAGTGAAAGACTCATGATTGAATCAGTATTAGATTGAAGAGATAGTGCCTATCCCATGATTCATTAAAGATTAAAGCCTTTCTTAATTCTATTTTCCTCTGGAGCAAAATTAAAATGTATCTCAGTTTTATAGTATGTAGAAAGAATAAATGAAATTCCTCTCAACCCCAATTCTTTGTTAGGCTGAGCTTTAGTCACCTGAACCAAGGATCTCCAATGAAACCCCTCCCTAGTCTCACTTTATCCAACATATATATAATTTATGTTTCATCACTAAAAAAACAGATTCAGGCTGACTCCCTTGACATATCTGTTAAGTGAAAAGAGAACTATCCAAACCCAGGTTTATTTTCTTACAGTGGGACTGTGAATGGATGGGGATTTTACTCATATTTGTGTTCTCACAGATAAGAAGCAAATTGATCACATCTGTGTGATGGGCAAAACACCTGAATGACCCAGAAATACTGAGTTGTGGGGATTCCCTCCCATTTATTCATTGTTCTAAACACATTCACCTTCTTGTCCTTATACTCTTATAAAGCCACATATCAGCAGAAAATAAGTAAAACAATTCTTACATCCATTCCATTCTTCTACTTCATTTCACTTTCTTTTCCCCCCTTTTACAGACTGCATCATGTCCTTCCATTTACAGAACTACTGCAGTTCAAATTATCCATTAGGCCGTAATTTCTGGGTTCACTTATTTAAGTGACAGCTGCATTACAGAGATTTATCTCCCCACAAGCTTATTCAGCTTTCCAGCTCTATTTCTTCTTTGCCCTACTGCATAATTTTCCTTAGCACTACCTGTCCACTCACCAGGAAAACAGGTAAGCACAGCCAGTCATTAAGGGATTGCACATTCCTGTGAAAACACTGTGGGGAGCAGGACACAATGAAATGCTGGACTAGAACGTTTTTGTTGGCTCTGGACATGCTATTAAGGTGTTTGAAAAACAATTTATAGAAATACCTACTGAGAGCAGTTTGGAAATAGCTGAACCTGTGTCTACCCTGATTAGAAGGGTAGCTTAGGAATCATTTCACTGGCATCTTCTGGGATAGTTACTAATAAGAAATTTTATTTTGGCTTATCTACCCAAAGTATCAAAATAGTCCTTAAATCCTCTAGGACCTTGCTTACAGCAGTTTCCAGTTAGACAGAGATGGTGGAAATCACACAAGACACAGAACTAGATGAGTTCCAACAAGTTCTGCAGAAGCAGCTGTCTCATGCACAGGTACATTGACTTTCTGAATAACCACAGTACTGTGGTTCCCCTTCATAAATCATTCATAACAAAACTGCCCCAGTCTGAGGCCACCTGTTCTGCTGCTTTGGCAGCTGCAGTCACAGATGCACAAGCATCTGAAGCAAGAGAGGATTTCTCTCTCCAGTAGACCAGATGAGAAGTTGGGAGTTTGTGCCTTGCATGGAGACAGATATCATCCAGCAGCTAAAGGAGGGTGACTTGCAGTGTCACTGTACTCTTGTAAGGATGTGCAGATGTGGTACAGGTGTTGCTGCCAAAAACTGTAGGGAAAAACTGCCATTAAGCAATTTCATGCCATGTTACCTTTGCACAAAACAGTTGCTCTACTCCAGTTTCTATGAGGTTGGCTGGCAGTAGAGAAGGAAGCAGTAAAAAACCATTTACTCTTGACATTTTTTGACAACCGTGTCATATAATAGAGTGAAGAAAGCCAGTTTGCCAGACAGAAATGAAGATAAGCCTATTTCAGAGCTTTTCAGATCATTTAACCCATATTGTACTACTGATTTCAGATATAGTTTCAAACTCTGGAGTTGTACAGGTAGCACTTTTAAAAAGAAAGTCCTTTGTACATCTCTCAGCCATGTAACAAATCTTTGCACTTTCATCCCTGTCCCCATACACAGAAATGTGTGTGCCACGATGAAGCATAAACAACTGAAACAAGTTTTGAACTAGGCATCTTGAAGCACTGTTCTGATGTGCTCTCCACAAATTCCAGGTGCTCTGGTTTGGTTTTTTTTGTTGTTGCAAAAGTAACAAGCAACTTGCCTTTTTTCACTGTCTACCTAGAGAGACCAAGCAAATAAACAAAATGTATTTTCCTCACAAAAAAGGAGATGCTGTTCAAAAATGCTGCCAGGGTGTCAAAGGACTCAATCAGGCGGTGAAAATTCTCGTCCTCTCTGGAGAAACGATGTCCAAAAATGATAGAACAAATGACATTTGAGACTGTATGAACAACAGGCATAGTGGGGTCCAGAGGTTTTCCTGTAAATACAAGGGACTGCAGTCACCATTAACACTTACTGTTCCAGCTTTTCCCACTGACAGGAGAGTTGATAAAATTTCATCAACATTTCTGACATTAATTAGAACACTGGATGGCAAATTGTAATTTATTGGTAAAAGGCTTGAGTAAAGAAGTAACTTCAGGCATCTAAAAAACACTGTTGGTTTAAAAAATGAAAATCTGCTGGTGGGAATGGAATAAGTAGTATTAATTATAAAAATACCCAGATTTCATCAAACCTTGACATCAACATATCTCACATTTGGCAATAACCAGGGTACAAAACCAGCTGAGACATTAAATACACAGATGAGTTGAGAAGAGAACCACCTTCTATTGTTTGCTCATATCATTTTACATTACAATATTTCAACCTACCCTGTGCATCCCTGGTCAAATCTTTGCATATTTTATGCATTTTCTTTTCTACACAGGAATAGGAGGCATTGTGACACTGATTTTTTTACTGTTTGCTGTTACCCTGATGCTGTTAACCATAAGTAATATAGAACTGACTCAGAAGCAATAACACTGATAGGGATCAGTATATACGTATATATAGATAGATATAGCTATATATAGATATGTATAGGCATATTATATATATAGTGGTATATTATAAATATATAACTAAACATGTATATAACAAGACAGGAATCTCTAATTCTGTGAACTTGCTGTGGGGTTTCACACTTCCACAAATAAGTATCTTATGCAGGTAGCATATACAAATTTTTTAGACTCAGCTCTGCACACACACTTTGAATCCATTTTAGTAATCAAATAGTTTCAAAAGTTACCAGTGCCCCATTCTCCCACTGCACAGGCTGCCCTGCCCACCCTCACCATTTGTTTTCTGTAAGTATTCCACCAAGTGAGCAGCCTCCTCTTGCAGTAGATAATCGTGGTCTTTTTTCCCTACTCCCATCTTCCTCATTGTTGCCATCCCAAAACGCCTCTGCTGCTTCCAGAGATGACCATTAGAGAACAAAACACCTGGAATCATAATGAACTAATGCTGTGAATATCTTATAAATTAATGGATTGGTAAGGTTGATATATCCAAGAAGCTTTTCTTTTTTTCTAATTTTTTCACATTTTTTACAGCAGTCTGGCAACATCAACTCTTACATCAACTCTATGCTGTCATTATTGTTCTAACAAAATACAGAATAGAATTGTTTTTAAAAACTTGTGAAAATATGAACTTTTTTTCTGATGTAAATTAAGGACTTGGAGGCTCTAAATCAGTATTCAAAACAGGGATAGAACACATTAAAATAATTAATGAGAATAAAAATTACCATTTCCTCGTGTCATAATCTGTAAGATTCTGCTTTCAGGTCTTCCAGCAACATCTTCAGCACGGGCAGTCAGACCTTCCTTCACTGCCTGAAACCCTTGCAGGACAACTGCAGGAGTGTTTGAAAGCCATAAGGTGAAGATATTGCCATGAATTTTGGCCATCTGTAGAACAAGGCAGAATCAGAATAACAGGAGTGAGAACTGGTACTTTTAAATCAAACAAGATGAACCAGACGTTCTCCCTGGGCAGGTGCCCTAAGAGTGACTGACTTTGAGAACAGAGCATCAGGTATGTTCTTACATACAATATAGTTTGAAATCAGGTTTCTATCTAAAGTCTCATTTATTAAAGATCATGATGTTTCTAAAATGTCAGCCAATATTGCCAAAGTCTGTGATGTCATTTATTATGTCTTACAATTCAAACTCATTGTAGATGAAGTCTTCCATCCTCACCACTTACTACAAGACAGCAGTAGCTCATTAATTTGATGTGAACCATCTACAGATGCCCCTTTGTGTGTCAAGTGTAGCAAAAGCAGTCGAGGAGCTGAGTAATGCAGGAATCACCCTGTTCTTTCCAGCTCAGCTCTGACAGCCTTGTCTTCAGCTGCCATCCCTGGCAGAGGGCAGGACAGTCCTTCCCCTGACTGCTGAATCAGGAAAAGTAGCAAAATAGGCTGGAAAGAGTGGTGTGTTGCCAAGACATCTCAAGAAATGCAGGACCAGAGGACAATAAAATTTTTCTGCCTGGGAGCAAACAAGAGGGAATGCTTATGCACAGTGAGCAAAAATGTATGTGCTTGTACTTACACATTTGTGTTTAATTTCATTTTTGTAAGGGCCTGTTCATGGCTTTTGACACCTTGGGGTGGCCAGTACTACTCTTCATGTCTGCGATACCAGAATTAGAAGAAAACACAGCAGACAAACACTAGCTACTATTTTATGTTATGGAACAATAACACTTTGCCTTGAAATATGCAGCTCAAGAGGACAGAACTGGCAGGACATGGAAAAAACAGGGAAAGGGAAGGGCGAGAATGAAGAGGAAGAGTGAGGGGCTACCACTTACATATTTAAATGTTAACTAGATGTATAAGAACTATAAAACAATAGGATACAAACTTTAGAAGTGCTGTATATTACAACTGGACATAGAAAAGGGTTTGAGCATACTATGAATTATTTTAGCCATTTAAAAGCTCAGTCTTGCTAAACAGACTGAAATCTCTTGTGAAAATCTGACCAAATGGTATGTCAGAAAAAATTGATTCTAAGATCTTGCAAAAAATCAATTTAATAAATATTAAAAAATCATCCTTCCTATATTGGAAACACACGTCCTCAGTAGTTATTTCATGGGATACTTAGAAAATGCCAGTGCAACAACAGTCAAAACACAAACATCCAAAAGACTGCACAGAATTAGTCAGTCTACTTTAAAATACAGCTTCTTCCTATGTGTAAGACAATATTATCATCATTATGTTTTTTGTTCATAAGGTATTAAATATATATTTCATAGTAAGTGCAAATTTTCACACAAAGAAACATATTTTAATTATCTCCACCTATTTCCACATTTATGCAATTTAGAACAAATTCCTCCCTAGCATTCAAAAATAAAGCCATGTTAAGCACATTTACTTTTCAATCAGCTTATGAGTCCATTAATACATTACCAGAAAATACATACTTTTTTAAGATGCTCATGATGAATTTTGAAGTTCATCTGCAGCAGATTTCCAAGGAAGGGATATGGAGTTGGCCCAGGAGGAAATTGTCTTCTCATCCATTGCAATTTCAGAAACTGCATCAACGGCAGAGACACCACAAAAAATACCAGCACCCCACTCACTGTTAACATTTTACTTCTGATTTACACGGCTATGTTGTCTCTCTATAACTGCTGTGTAGACAGAGGAGAGATCAGTTTATCTTGCTTTTGGGGTACCTCCCTGAAAAAAGAAAAAACACTTGACGCTCCTGTGACTCATCTCTTTCCCTCTTTATCACTTTTACTTCCCCATCCCAGAGAATTAAGTGTTCTTATTTTTAAGCATATATAACATCATTATGTTACAGCTACCCATCTGTCAATTACTGCTTCTTCAAGGGACACACAATGTAGGTTAATTATACACCTCTTTGTGCCATGACTCCTGCTGTGACAAAAATCTCTGCCCACGGTCCTGGTTTCATAAAAAACTCTTGCAAGAATGAGAAATAAAAAAGATTTCCTGAGGATTGGCTGCATACCCAAGGGCAGTGGGATTAGTGAAAAGTTCAGGCTCATCAATAGCCATCACATGCACCAGCCATGTGCTCTGCTACTTAGCTCACCCCATACTGTTGATTCTGATGTTCTCTGCTAATCCTTTAATATTTTTCCTCACAGTTTATATTGAAAGGTGTTTGGGGGATGGCTCTACCTTTTAATTTTAGCCTAGGGCACACACAGACCATAAAAGACTCCAACTGGTCATTGAGTAAGGGGAGTTGGTTGGCAATAATGACACAACACCCAAGTGTCCTCCCACTCCCTGCCCAGCTGCACAGGGAAGTGGGGCTGCAGTCTCCTTGACCAAGCACAAAGCAAAATTTCTTCACCCCTTCACCTGCCTGTGGGTAATCCCCCTGAATTTCCTGCAGCAGGAACAAAGATGACATACAGCTGCCTCTGAGAACTTCTTTCACAAGTGCCTCATGCAACTGAGCAGCTCCAGCTCTGCAAAGGGTGGCATTTGAACATGATCAACAGAGAGTTGGCACTTGCACAGGAACAGCATTAGCTTAGCCTTGGCTCTGGCTTAGGCAGCAGCATGTGGCACCCTGGGAAGTGACCTAGATGGCCTTGCTGCTCATAAACCAAACTTACAGGACTGGCACAGCTGGAAATAAAAGTTGTGAGGTGGGAAGGACATTGGTTTACCCCAGAAATAGAGAAATAACTTTTACCCATCTTGCTGGCCACTGATTGAACTGAGAGCTAGGATCAACCTGAAAAACTGAACTACCCATTTTGAGACCACTTTTGTGACTTTTAGCTCCTTCACTGGTGTTACATTTTCTGTATCTCAAACTGCTCCCAGCTCTGAGTTTAGTATTTTCCAAAGTGTTCCTGGAAGGGGACTCACAGCCCCAAGGCTTCCCTGCCCTGCTCACTTGCAGCCCCATCTGGCCCCTGCACAGTCCTGGCTGGCTGCTCTGCATCTCCCCTGGCTCTCCAGGCTCACTCTGGCTTTTCCACACTCATTAGCCACATTCTGGTGATTGCACCTCTCAGCCTAGACATGAACTGCCTGCCTGTAGGAAGGCAGCTGCCAAACAGCTTTGCCAAGCCTTTGGGAGAGATGACAAGGGAATACAAATTGCTTTTCTCGTCATATAAGATGGTGCTGGAGGACTGGGAAGAGAGTAACCTGATAAGGTTTTGTAAGCTGTATTTGCCACAGCTTCCATGAAGAGAACTGAACGCCTGGGAAGCAGGGGTTAGAGCTGGCTGACAGCTCAGAAGAACAGAAAGGTGTTACTCTAACAAGCGAATCCTCCTCCTCTCACTCTTGCCAGGAGAGCTGCTGGCCAGTTCTCTTCTCCCCCTTTCTTTCAGCCCATGACACAACGGATAAACAGAGCAATGCCAACTAGTCCTTGAAGCATGCTTGTGATAACAATTGTAAAGTCTTTTCTTCAAAGAAGAAAGCTGGTAGAGCAACAGTGACCCTCACTCTGACCTTGGGTTTTAAATCTTAATTGGGTGGGTAACAAGGCCAGTCTCACAGTGCGAGTGGCTTCTGGTGCTTGCCATCCACTAGCCCTGCTTGGGCACTGCTCCTGCCAGCTGCACCTTGCACAGCTCTTCCCTCACTGTGCATTTGGACTCAGCAGGCTCAGCTGTCAGAAGGCTGCTTGTGTGCAGCTGCCCCTCTGCTCACAGAAAACTCTCAAGAGCTTTGATTCTCCTCCAGCTTTTGCAGAACACCACATCGATGTCTCCTGCCCTGCCCCTCCTTGCTGTACAAGACTGCAAAGAGTGCAGGCTGCCCCCTGAACTGAGCTTTGGGCATCAGTGAAGAGACATGGCCAACCTAATCTGCTCTACATCATTGTCATTACGAACCCTGGCATGTGAGATGACTCCCACCTTCATAGAAATGTCTCTCAAATGCACCACTAGAAGTATGTGTAAAAAAAAAATAAATTCCAGGCCAGCCCACTGGTCCTTATCCTTATTCTACCCACTGCATTTCACCAGCAGTGGGGCTTCCCTCTGCCATTTCCAGCAGGCAATAGGGGGGGTTTGCCTTTGCTCTTGGCCTGAGTCACATGCCTCACAGCCAAATGAAGAGTTGCACTGCTGTCTCTCTGTTACTTCCAGTCTCAAGCACTCATCTGCCCGTGGCTCTTGGCTAAATAGACAAAGCTGCTCCCAGCAAGTTGAGATGCTCCTCTACAGCTTTGAGTTCCCATGCAACCATACCTGGGAGCTCTGGCAATACTCAGAGCCATCACCTCTGGGAACAGCATTCCCAACACACCATTCTGGATTTGAGAATGAAGGGGAAGACTGCTCAGAGTCTGGCTCTGATGCTCCTCCTCCCTCCAGTAAGATTCTGACGAGACTACACAGTGCAATAATTGTCTACATTTATTTCATTTGTAACACAGCAGGAAAAAACAAAAAGGTACAGACACCTTCCAGACACAGGAAAACCAGAGTATTTTTCAGGGCTGGCTTCTAAGACATAAAACAACAAGGAGAGATTTTCACTGAATTTGAGCTAAAAATGAGAACCATAAAGCTGCACAAATCCTAGCACACTACCAAACCTGTGTCTGTGCCTCAAATCTCTAATGCTGAGCAATCTAGCGCAGAACTGCACAGAGCTTGTATGGATGGGGTTTCATGGTGCTCCCAAAGATAATGTCTGTGTTGATTCCTTTAACTCCTTCTGGTACAGTGAACTTGAATTTCTGCAACAGGCTGCAGAAAATGATGAAAAGCTCCATCTTGGCCAATGCCTCTCCCAGACAAACACGGTGACCTGCAAGGGGTGAACGGAAAGAGAAGTCAGTCCCCACCAAGGTTTGTAACCAGCACCTGTTTTCCAGCTTTTCACAGGAGCATTGCTCACTAAGGAACAAAGAGCTTTGCTGGATTTGACAATTTCCTCTCAGATTGAACGGGACATACAGCTGAGATGTCTGCAATTCATTTTTGCAGGATCTGCCCAGATTAGATAGAAAAGATACCAGAGATGCTTCTCAGAAGTTTCTTTCTTGCTTCCTAATCTACAGAACTCTCCCTAGTTTTATGAAAGGGATTTCAGTCTTTTGATTCCAAATAAAAACAAGAAAGCATCTTTAGGTTCCCTCACTGCTTCTGCTTACTACAGACTGACTTATCTTCCCTAATAACAGTGAAAAATCAGAAGACAGAGGACATTCTACACCTGATGAAGCATTTTCCTACATAATGACTTAGTGAAAACAACTTGCTAAAGAAAAATCTCTTCCCAATTTATCAATTAACTCTGTCCAGGATATAATTCCCAGAAACAGACAGTGACAAACTCTGAAATGCAGTGGTCAGGTCATTCAATTTTGATGTGAGAAATCAATTCCTCTTCTGCTCAATTTAGACCAGAAACTTGAGCCTGACATTTTCACAGCTTAGCTAACAGCTCTGACAACCAGGCTATTCGTTCCTGGCATGACCCCCAAGAGGTTTTGTTTGTTTAAACTTCTATAAACTCACACACTGGTGAAAGAGTGATCCCAGAAACTCCACAGGAAAGACAGACTTCTGGATATATTTAATCCAGCTTCTGGATCTCCCATTCATCTCGCTGCACTGATGAATATTGAATTATTTATACAAAATAAATCAGCTCCAGCACAGCAGCCTGCCACAGCATATCCACTGTAATGGCACTACCTAGCATATACAGAGGAGGACCAAGGGCAACAGGGTTAGGACTCAAGTTCCTAAGTGATTGGGAATCTTGGACCTTACTCATTTTATCTTCTCTGCATTTTCACAAAAATCTAAGATCAAGTGTTTATACAATTGCCAAACAACTTATTTTTGCAGTCAAACATTTTTCTGGGCTGGGAAAATCATGTGCTCCTGCAGTTTGGGGTTACACTCCTCTTGGGCCTTCTCCACAATGAAAATAACAGTTTCATCTAACCCACACACCTGGGCTCAGTTCTCAGTACACTCACCTGCTGAGAAGGCCAAAAGGGCCTCTCGGGTCACAAAATTTCCATCCTTGTCCAAGAAATGGCCGGGGTTGAACTGGTGAGGTGTCTCCCAATAGTCAGGGTCAAAAAGAGCTGAGTCTATATTTGCTATGATTAGAGTGCCCTGAAAGGAAGAGGCAGCTGGCACAGTTCTGTCTCTCACACATCAAGAATTAAAGGACACAGATTCCAGCTATAATTCTGCACACAGAAAGGCAGCAGAAATTAAAGATTACATAATCATGGGAAAAACAATAATCTCAAGGGTTCTGAGGGGTTTTCTGTCAAAAAATAAATAAGCAAAGAAACTTCAGTGTTTTGGGTTCAGAGAGTTCCCTGCTGTATTCCTTCCTGACTTTTTTCCCCAATCTGTTAGCAAATGCCACGGAATGTGTGGTCTGCAGTTCTTTAGTACCATATCCTAAATGTAGCAAAATTGTCTTCCTGTCCTGAGCTGGAGGGGAAAGGGTTTAATGGTAAACCTTTACTTGTGGCCAAAGATCACACTGGAATAGAAGGGATATCTGTACCTTTGGAACATGATACCCCAAAACAGTGGTATCCTTCACAGCTTCTCTGGGAAGTGAGATTAAAATAATGCTGCTGAAGCGGAGGATCTCA